AGAATTGATTGGTTGCGTCCTGCAAGCCCCACACTGGGGATTGAGCCTGCAACCTAGGCTTATGCCCTGATTGTGACCTCCTGGTTCTTAGGTTGACATTCAACCACTGAGCCATGCCAGCTGGGCAAAAGTTCTCAATTTTGGCATCATATTAATATCACCTGGGCAGGATTTAAAACTTGACCCAGTATTTTAAAATTGCAAGCCAGTAAGAACGGTAAGGGCAGCTGCACTGTGTGCTCCGGGCCCTACAGCAGAGAAGACTGGCTTCCTCATTATGGGGGATCAAACCCAAGAGGCTCTGTTCTCACTAGCAGACAGAGAAGCCTTCAAGAATTCTGTAGGCCCCTCATACTGGGCCTTTCTGGAGAGTACAGACACAAGGTGTGTCACACTGGGCACACACACACACACATTCACCATGCCACTTGATCAACCAGCATTTAAATGAAGAGCAAGGGCAAGCTTAGAAAGAAGCAATTATGAAAGACAGCCTAGGAGTAGATGTGTGAAAGTCAAGTGGAACAATTTAATTCACTTCTATTTACTCATTTGGTGCTGGTGCTGGGCTCTGAGGCTGATATTATGGGCTAATAGAGGCTGAATAGAAAAATACCTGAATATTTACAAAAAAGTTTTATTCAGTCACTAGGTCATATGTGAGCACATAGTCAAAAAACAATTTGTACAGTAACTCTCACGGTTTTTCCTACAATTGTATAAATGTTCACTCTGCATCCCTGGGTCATATTATTAGTGGTCACCAATGATGGTCACAATGATAGTAAAGATGTGGCTGCAAGGACAAGGTTACAAAAATGATGTATATATTCATATATAACCTAGAGCATAGCCTAGATATTGAGTAATAAATTCTGAAAGCATTTCATTCTTACTGATTCAATTATATATTAACTAAGAATTAGAAGGGGTTTTAATTATCATTGTTGGTTTTTTATTTATTTATTTTAACAAGTGACTGCTTTGTGACCATCTGCTCAGGGAATCTCCAGGCTTGGTAGCCAGGGCAATCACCATGGTTACCATACCCAAGGGATGGATTTGACTGGGGTTACGATCAGGATGGTGAGGAGGAAAGCCTTGCTGAGCTGCCCGTGGCTGGGAGAGTTTTAAGACTGGTTCTCTGTTTTCTCCAAAGCACAAAAGGTTTGATTCTTCCCAACACAGCGGACTGTAATGAGTTGCCCTTTGGAGTCAAAGAGAGGAAAATCAATACAGAGCCCTCCTCTACCTTCCACCCCTCCCCAGACTACTAGTGGCTTGCACTTTTCACACGGCCCCTACCATGGTGGAAAGAATTAGTCTGGCCTCAGCGGCTGAGGTTGTGAAATGGTACAAGCAGCCATTTGGAGGCATTAACAGTCCCTTCCTGTCTCTTCCCTTTTTTGAGTGAAAGAAGAGCCTTACCCAGGGCGCAGAGGGCTGTAGAAGGCTCCCCATGCGACAGGGCCATCCCTTCATTCTGTGGAGGGCACCCAGAGAATTCTCCTTCCCTGGTCATGGACACCACAGCCTCCTCCCCTCTCTGCGCCATCCACTATCACCCAGAGCAGCTTCTTGGGTCTCCTCCATTAGGAACTGGGCAGAAGGGTAACAGAGATGCAATTCTATGCTCTCCTGCCACTGCCCACTGCAGATCTTGGCTCTTGTGTCATTTCTATGACGAACATGTCATATATTCAACACCCAATAAATAGCTGGGCAGTTATGTGAGCCATCACAATTTTCATCATCTTTTGTATTTTCCAGCTTTAAGTATGTTAATAAATAATTCCTATATATAAATTACCAAGCATGAATCTATATGATGAATCAAATGTAAATTGTTACCTCCATTTCTACCTAGAATAATAATTATATAGCTAGCATTCATTAATTGAGGGCTTACTGTGTGCTGAGCCCTGAGTGTTTTATTTTTTTGAATTTAAGTCTCACTAAAAATCTAAAAATGTAGGTTATATTAAATTCATTTTACAAATGAAGAAATTAAGGTTCAGAGAGAGTTTTAAAAATGTACTCAAGGTCACACAAGGTGACAATCAACCCCAGATTGAACCCTGATACCCTCTATTGCCTCCTTTAAGTCCAGGACAGGTTAAAATCTGTAGCAGTTTAAAAAGTTAGCTCTTTCCAATAGGAGAAGATAGAGACGGAGTGAGGTAGGACTGAGATTTATCAATTCAAAATTTGAATACAGAGAACATGAAATGGTTCTTTATATTTCAAACATTGAAATAAATGCATTGCCTTTTTATTTTTTAAAATATATTTTATTAATTTTTTTACAGAGAGGAAGGGAGAGGGATAGAGAGTTAGAAACATCGATGAGAGAGAAACATCGATCAGCTACCTCCTGCACACTCCCTACTGGGGATGTGCCCGCAACCAAGGTACATGCCCTTGACCGGAATTGAACCTGGGACCCTTATGTCCGCAGGCTGACGCTCTATCCACTGAGCCAAACCAGTTAGGGCTGCATTGCCCTTTTAAATGTAAGATACATTTATTTTCGGACAGACTCTGTGGATTTAGTTACGCTATTAGGGGTAGTAAAGATGTGAAACTGCAGCTGGCTTGGCTCAGTGGATAGAACGTTGGCCTGCAGACTGAAGGATCCTGGGTTTGATTCTGGTCGGGCTCAGTTCCCAGTGGGGGGCATGCAAGAGGCAGCTGATCAATGATTCTCTTTCATCATTGATGTTTCTATCTCTCCCTCTTCCTTCCTCTCTGAAATCAATAATAATTTTTAAAATTGATATGAACCTCCAGTAGGTGGATAAGCCAAAAATAGAAACAGGTTCTATGAATTTGTTGACCAGAGAATAAATACTTCCTTGTGTTAGGTCGAATATAGAATTATCAATTTTTGTTTAAAGACAAATAGTGTCAATTTCTTATGGTTCAACTTAGGTAGAGGCCTGTGCCTAACTTTTACTGATAGAGTATACAGACTACACATCAAGTGAACTTCTATTTTCCAACCCTGGATACACGATGCAAGGAGCCAGTGCTTAAGTTTTTGGTTTGGGTTTAGTTGAAAATTTTACTAAAACAGCTCTTTTTCCTAGTCTGCCGCGTGTGTTTAAGGTTGGGGAGAGGAGATTGTTGGGTGGGAGGGAGGATTGGAAATATAGTTTCTAAGACTAATATCTCTTTGGTTCTTGTAGAACTGAAAATTGGGTTTTAGTGTTCACTTTGCTCTAACCAGCCGATGGACCTGCAGCAAAACACCCAACCTTTTAGGATTTCAGGTTAGCCACCTGCCAAATGCGGAGATGGGTACCTCCCAGTTCTAAAATTTTACACGGAGTTAAGAATAAACGCTGGCTTTTGCTGTCAGAATTGCGAAGTCTGGTCCTGTATGACTTCTCCACACCCCTCCTCCCCCCCGCTCCCACATGGCCTTCTAGAATGCAGGAATAGACTCACACATGGGTAATCCAACCGAGACAGGGGATTCTTCACCTGGAAGTCACACATACGCGTCTGGGTAGCCAGATTTAGCGAATAAAAATACATGATTTCCAGTTAAACCTGAATTTCAGATAAACCACAAATCACATTTTAGTATAAGTATATCCCATGCAACATTTGGGACATACTTATACTAACAACTGGTTTATGATTTATCTGAAATTCAAATATACCTGGGTGTCTGTCCGGTATGTTATCAAGCAAACTTTATCTGGGTTGGTGAGTCCATGCATTCCGTGACATCTTCGGGAATACTATGAAACAGGTTGTGCGTGTGTGTTTATGTGCATTTTTCTGTAGCTTGGGCCCAAAGCATTCACAAGGTTCTCAAAAAGACCCACAACCCCAAACAGACCCAGAACCACGATGCTGCCACGAAACGGGTAACATAATTCTACCCTCTTTTACAAGTGGGCAAGTCCATGTGAACGTATCACCCTTGAAATCAAGTTCTTCCTGGCCTGAAAGAGATCTCAGATGAAAAACTCCTAGACTGATTATAGAAAAGAATTGTCACTTTATATTTAAGAACATTCTTTTTCCCCGCTGCCCTCCACCCTGGCCTCCAGGGAGCGACTACCCAGGGCAGGCGGAAAAGCCATGTGTGCTAAAGTGTCACTGTCACTCCCATGCCAGAGCGAGCTGGGATCCCAGCATGTCTCCCAGCCAAAGGGGCGAATCAGCTGCCCCAGCTCCGGGTCCCAGCCACATTCCAAGCGCTGCATCTGTCCCGGCTCATCAGCACCGGCTCCCGGAATAGAAACGCTGGGCTCAGGCCCTGCTGCTTGCCATTTTAAGTTAAGTCCAGCATAAAGGGGGGTGGGGGGGTTTCCACTTTACCATTTCATTGCCAACATGATTTCTCATCTAAAACCTATGTCCGTATAACCGTATGTGCACATTTAGAACAAAAACTTGTTTTACAGTTAAATTACAAATTTGTTTGTTTTTGCAAGGGGAGGTTTCTATTTTGTCAATAGGTTATATTTCTGGGAATTTGAAAAGTTTCCAAATTTTTTTTGCTACCAATATCATTACAATGAATTAATTTTACCTAAAATTATTGGGTACCAAATGTGTACCTGGTTCCTGATTTTAAAAAAAAATGGAGAAGAAATGTTAAGCTCTGTGAACAAAACTAAAAATTTTAATTTCCCCACCTTTTTTTTCTATAAAATAGAGGAAGAAAAACATACGTCAGACTTTAGAGACTTAAAATGATTGTTAGAAATTACAAGTAACGTTGCTATTCTAAAGCATCCTCTCATGAATTTCTATGACTACGCAGGACCTTTGCCTAATGTATCACACTCCTTCGATTTCAAGAAAATGGCTTCTAGTTCCCCAATTCAAATCAGGGACTTGGGCAATCTGACCCAGCTGCAGGCGCCTTCAGTGAAATCGCTCTGCAAACACTCAGACACGCCACCCTCTCCCACCCACAGAGCCACACACCCCCAGAATGGGGAAGACAGGAATTGGAGAGTGTGGCCCCAGCTCCTTACCCTCCTGTGCTGAGTGGCGTCCCCGACTTGTGATGATGAAGTGTCAGCAGCAGACTTCTCTTGGGAAGCAATCTGTGGGGAGAGAAGGGAGAAGGGGAGCCACCAGCAGCCACCTGACAAGTCCCAGCAGCAATTTTTAGAGTGACCCTTTGCAGTCCCACTGGCTGAAGCAGCTGAGCCTGCACTGTTGCCCCAGCAGCAGTGTGAGTCCTCCTCTCCCTCTTTGGCCTTCAACTTCAGACTACCCCGGGCAGGGGGCGGAGCTCTGGTTGGAGGAGGGGAGTTGGGTTTCTTGACCTGCCCAGTTGGTTTTTGTTTTGTTGGTGTGTGTTTTAATTGATTTCAGAGAGGAAAAGAGAGATAGATAGAAACCTCAATGATGAGAGAGAATCATTGATTCGCTGCCTCCTGCACACCCGCCACTGGGGATTGAGCCTGCAACCCGGGCATGTGCTCTGACATAATCGAACTGTTACCTCCTGTTCGTAGGCCGATGCTCAACCACTAAGCCACACCAGCCAGGGGCAGTGGAAGGGGGCGGGGAAGGTTGATTTTGTGTTTTGTTTTTTTGTTTTTTTTATTCAAGAGCTCTTCAGTGATTCATGGGGAGGTCTAGGATTAACACATACTCTGGTACCCATGCAGGATGGAAAAAATATCTACTTTGGCAACACTTCATGTGAAAAAAGAAATTCAGAGGATTATAATTGACCACAAGCTTTTAATAGGCACCAAGAGTGTGAAGTGGATGCTAAAAAAGTTAGCCTGATATTAGGCTGCAATAATAGAAAAATAGGTCATGGAAAATAAATGTTCAGGCCCAGGCCCATGTGGCTCAGTTGGTTGGGTGTCATCCTATGCACCAAAGGGTTGCTGATTTGATTCGCCATCAGGGCACATATATGCCTGTGTTGCAGGCTCCATCCCTGGTAGGGGGTGTGTAGGAGGCTGCCGACCTTGTTTCCATCTCACATGGATGTTTCTCTCTCTTCCTCTCCCTGCCCTCTCCCTCTAAAAAATCAATTTAAAAAAATTAATAAAAGTCACAAAAAAATAAATGTTCTGTTTATTCTTCACTAGTCAGATCATGTGTTAAGTATTGCCTTGATGCCTTGGCACACTGAGAAATTATTCTGCACCCTGAAGGAGATAGCTGGAATGAACAGAACTTCAGAGCTGTGCAGACTGGGAACATCTGCAAAAAGGTAGGACTAAGAGAGGGCCTAGGAACATGAGACTTCTGAGTGCTAGTGTTTTAGGGGGTGTTGTACAGCAAGGACATTCATTTACAATTTTTGTAGCTTAAGGTGTCAAAAATTTGGCCCAAGGGGGGATTTATAGGGGCATGAGGTCACATATGTAATACCTTAATCAATAAAGAAATTAAAGATTGAAAAAAAAGAAAATAAAAATTAAAAAATTAGGCCCAATGGTAGAAATTCCAGGGAACTGATTTAAAAATAAGGAAAGAAAACTCTGATGACAACTGGGTTCTAATGAAGAAAAGGAGCTGTTTCCAGTGACTAAAAGGATGGAAGTAAAAGAAGATATGGGACTGGGGTGATATAGAGGGGACTCTCGCTCTGGCTGGGCACTTGCACTGGATCATCGCTGATATTTTCTAAAACTGTAAGACTCTATGTGTTGGGTTCCAGTTCTCCTGACACCTCTCAACTCATTGGATAGTATCTTAGTTACCAGTTCTATTTGAATTACAGCCAGCTCTTTAGTAGGGATAATTATTTTGGTTGTGTTTTTCATTCTTTGCTTCCACCCATAGATCTCTAGCTCAGAATGAATCAGAAGTAAATCAGGAGTACTTATTTCATGGTTTATATCAAGCTAATAAAGAATGATTTCCAAGTGATCCTTCTTGTTTCCACCTCTTCAACTCCAGTAAAGGCCCAGAGCATTCAACTGTACTCTGACTATGATAAAAATCAGCCTTATATCAGTATTTGTAATAATGCTGAATAGTGATGGGAAAGGCCTTCAAAGAAGTAGGTGCTGGAACCAACACTAGTGCCTTCAAGGGTTTAAGATGATTACTTTCAGTTTTACTGGAACAACACTGAGATACTCCTTTTAATAGAATATTATTTGAGGCAGTGTTATGAACACAATTGGAAGAGTAAATGGCAAAGATGGAAAGTCTAAAAAAATATTTCAATCAAAAACACATTTACAGAGTAGCTACCACATGCAAGCATTCAATTACTGCTGTGGCTGATAAGCTGGAAATATTGGGGACATGAAACATGGGCAGATAAGGAGCCTGGACAACTGTAATGTATTTGAAATTTGATTTTTATCCTTAAAGCAACGGGGGCCTACTTATTAATGTTTATGTTTTTGAAAAGTGTGCCATAATGCCATATTTCTCCCCACAACATTAGAAAGAATGTTGTGGCATTTGGGGAGTATAACCTCAGCAGAATTTAGTTTTATGAAAATCTATATTATAAAAGGCCAGTGACCGTAACACCATAATGACCAAATGACCGGTCACCGGGAGGTGCATTGATGGGTCTTACGGCATGGTGGGACACTGGGTCTCGTGCAATTTTGCACACTGGGCCTCTAGTATTAAAATATTAGGTAAATTACTGGGATAGAGTAGGTGGTATCAGTGGTTTGAGGAGGAGAAGATATCAAATTATCTAGAAGAGTGAGGGAGAACATGGGCCAGAATGACCAGGGAGGATAGGAGACCAACTTGAGGATAACAGCCATGACTGTTGGTCTGAGACCTGTCAGCTTGCCTGTATGTTTTTCTTAAGCCAAATGCAGCTGCAGACAAACAGGACAGTTGAATTTAACTGTAAAAGGAATTTTTCAAGGTGGGCAATTTATTTGTTTTCATTGTTAGTGCCTATCTCTCCTTCAGCAACTTCCTGCTACCCTCTGCCACAGATAAACTTAAATATAAGCTCCCATGAGGGCAGAGATCTTTATCTATTTTGATAAAACTGATGAATCTCAAATGCCTAAAACAGTGCCTGTCACATAGTAGATGATAAATAATTGTTTATTACTGGATAAAAGGATGAATGAATTAATGAATATTGAATAAGATGAATAAGATGAAGTGAGAGGACAAGAGAGTTGAGTATGTAAACCAGGAACTATTATAATGGCAGGTATAAAAGTGAGCTAAATGAGGAAAATGAAGTCCCAAAGGCAAGGACTTCTTCTTGTTAACGACTATAACCCCAGAACCAAGAGAATGCTTAGCATATAGTAGGTACTCAATAAATATTTGTTGAATAAAAAAATAATACTGACAACAGAGTAAAATACAAAGACGAAAAGTATTGTGATATTTTGCTTTGTACTTATTCTAGTTGCTTCTTATAGCAATTCACAGGGAAAACAATTCACAAATGTTTTTTTCAAAAAGAAAAGAAAGAACAGTGGGACAATAACCCGTGGTCATCAAAATATACCTGTCTGCTGTAGATTATAGCTCTGATAATTTAGCCATTTCTCAACTCATACTACTAATAGGAAGTCAATTTGTATGCTGCTTCTCAAACTTTAATGTACACAGGAATTACTTGTGGACCTTGTTAAATATCGATTCTGATAAGGTATGTCTGGAGGGGGCCCAATATCTGCTTTTCTAATAAACTCACAGGTAATGTTGATATTGCTGGTCTAAAGACCAAACTTAGAGTAGCAAGGATTTAGAGTAGTTGGCTACTAAATATTTGAAGGGAAAGAATTTGTCAAAAAGGCAATAGAAGCCATTCCGTCAGAATGCACTCAACATTCCGACACCAAATCTTCAAATCTACCTGGAAGAAGTCCACAATCTTTCCTCCTTTACTTTGTTAAAATGGAACAGCCCTCCTTCTAAACCCAGCCCCTCTACTATTGCTTTTGATTACAGATACAACCTGTTCAGTTCTGCCCACTCACCTGTACTCAACCCTCCCTATCTGCCAGCCAATTTCTACCACTAGTGGTACTCAAACTTTCCTATTTAAAACAAATACAACAAACACAATTTTTAATTTAGTCTACACTCCTTCCCCTCCAGGTAATGCCATATTCCTCTCCACTTCTTCATCGGCAAAATTCTCAGCTATATTATATGTATCTCCACCTGCTGCCCCTATCATGTTGCTTCCCATTTCCCCCTCAACTCAATCCAAGCAGGCTTCCCTGTTTACCCTCTACCAAAGTGGGTTGGCCAAAGTCATAAATAACATGGAGTCACTAAGTTTTTTTGGACATTTGCCAACACTTGACCTTTCAGAAGTATTCCACACAGTTAACTAATCATTCCTACTAAAAATGCTCTTTTCCCATGGGTTTTTGTTTTCTTCAAATGCCTTGGTTATTTCTTCTCAGTCTCCTTTCCTAGTGGAAGGTCTTCTACCCAACTCTTGAAGATTAAAATACTTGGGAGCTATCCTAGACTCTCTTTGATCCTCAAAACTGCATCCGGCAGATGAGCTCATACACTCTTAAATGTCTCACAGGCTCCTTAAACTCATTATTTCCAAGATGAAAGTCATCCTTTCCCCTCAAATATGTTCCTCCTATAAGTCGCTTTGATAGTAAACAACCCAGTTCCTTGAAGGGTAAATCTGTGTCAGCATTTACCTCTTCCTCACCACCCTGCACTTGCATAGCCACATCTGCTTAATCACCACATCCTGTTATTACATCTGTAATCCCCGCCCCCATGCTATCGTTGTGGTCCAAGACATGACCACCTCTCACCTGGAACAGTGCAAAATCCCCCTAAATGGCCTTTCTGTGTCCACTCTTGCTTCCCTGCCATCCATTTTCCACACAGTGTAACTGAAGTGATATTTTCAAATGTGATCATGTAATTCCCCTGCAGAAAATTCAGCAGTTTTGCATTTCCTCAGGATAAGATCCCAAATCCTTCTCTGGCTTGCAGTGACTTTCAGCCACCTGATTCTTCTACATCTGCAATCTCTTCATGCTCTAGCAAAACCAGTCCCCTCCAAGTGCTTCAAATATACCACACTCACTGTCTGCCTAAGGTCTTCATACTTGCTCTCCCAACTACCTGAGAGGTCTTTCTCCTCAATCTG